CGAGGGGCGAACCTCCATCCGCACACTCTCAACGTCCTCCTCCACAACCTCCAGGCCAGCCTCCGGGAGCACCGCAGGAGGAAGAGAGGCCGCGGTGATCGCTCTTTGAGAAAGGATGATTTCTACATGTTCAGCGTACTTCTGCTAGAACTAGTGATCGCTCACGTACAAAGCATGCATGTTTAACTGATGGAGTATAATTGAAAAATAGCTCATGCATGTCAATTTAAGGCAATATGGAAAGACACCCTTAAAGAAGGGAATGACACTGACATGCATGAGGCAAAGAGAAAAGGATGCAAGAATTGGAGGTGAAGAAAGTTTGGAGCTGGAAGTGAAAATGCAGCAAGCAATAAAAACAACACTGAAGCGCTGGGATCTCAATAACTGACGTTGTTGATGAGCAAAATACCAATGTTAAGAGCGTCTCCAATAGGCGCCCAAAAACCGGCCCGCGCGCTAAAATTCAGATTTTTTGGCGCCGGACAGCTCCAGCAGAAGCTGTAAAACAGTGCGCGCGTAAAAAAGGGTTGGGCGCGCGCTGAAAAATACTATCACGTACTGCAAATTTGAGGCGCCGAATTGCTCGCGCTTCACAATTTACACTGCTTGTTCTTTTGGGCGCGCGTTTTGGGGCATATGCTAAAGCAATGTTGGGTCCGGCGCACTAAAAGTGCTACAGTGACGCGGTAAAACTATTTTTGGGCGCGAAATTTTTGTGCTCCTGTTGGAGATGCTCTAACAATAGAGAGGGTGGTTTACATGACGAGGAACAAGTGAACTATGATCTTTTCATACGATCCCAGAAATGATCGAATTCCACTATCAAAGGGATAACGGAACATAACATTAAGAAAACATCCAGCTGCAAATCAAAAAGCCCTAACAAAAAAGTCTCGCAGACCGCTGTTGCATATAACCGCTAATAGCAAACTAAACTACATGCGATGACAGACACACACCCTAGACCACATCAGGAAGACGACACCAGGAAGTTATCGTTCAGCCACCCCAACATCCTTTTCAAATTTCTTCTTTGATAGTCTCCTCAATCTTTATCCATCGTTGTTTCAGCGTTCATGTTGTCATCTTCATCTTCTCCAAACCCCGTAGCCTCCAGCCACAGTGCTTGCTCCCTGCACCCCCTTGCCCATTGCATGCATCGCCAGTGCTTGATGTTGCAGCACAGCCGCCCTTTGCTCAAGCATTACATGATCTTCTTCGTTTTGCAAACCTGCCCAATAACGCATAAATGAGCATGCAAATCAAATGGGCTCAACATGAGATCTTATTAACAAGCTTTTCTCAAAATGTGCTTTATTGCGCAACTTCCAAATCGCCCAGCAAATCACAGGCAACCCCACAATTTGTAAATTTCTGCTCCTAGGAAAAATAGTAGGAATCCACAAAAATATTGGGAAAACCAACCAGGTCTGTCTCTGGCGCCCACACATATACAGACAAATGTTCCATTCATATTTGGCTGCCGAGCAACGAAAGAATAGATGATGAATACTTTCAGGTTATGTATAAACGTGACACAAATGGTGTTCGGTTGGTTGGGTAGAGGAAGAATGGTCGTAATTTGGGAAGAAGTCAACGACGGCCATAGGGGAAGTAGGGGTTTAATTTAGCATCTGGGGGGCTTCTTTGCTTGCTGGAGTCGACATTGAGGAAGTAGGCGTACATGTGGGGTTATCAGACATGGAGACGAGGGCTTTGGAGGTCGCCGACCATACCGGAGCGGTGGCCATGGCAACGATGGTCTTCTGGTGTTGCTTGGGGTGGAAGAAAGAGGAAGGGAAGGCCTTACCTGGAGGTGACGGAAACAAGGGAAGGCTGGGGGCTAGGGTTTGGTGCGGTTGGTGGCTTTATGGAAGAGAGGCGCGAGGGCGAATTGATGCTATCATGTAGACAACCAAACCATGTACTACTTGGTTTTTAGCCTGCTTCGTGTGAGGTATATATGCAAGGAGGCAAAAAATGATGCAGACTACCAAATGTGCCCTGAGTCTGCTCCTCCAATCAGGGGCAGAGCCAGGATTTAGGCATAGGGGGGGCCAGACGGCGACGAAACCAGCAAATATTATGCCTCACATACTACCCAATAGTTTATACTCAAGTGTCACTCGCATGAAACTTAGCTTGGACACATAAATTTTTTTTTTGGCAGCTAGAGCGTGTGTAGCGATAGCTAATATTGGTCAATAATTCCACATGTGCGCCAAAAAATACTAAGTTGATAATCAAACTACTATAAAATACAACATGAAATGACATGCTAATAAACATTGTCATATGGAAATTTAAGATATACGAACAAGAATAATCATGTATTATCACATGATTGGCTTTTAAATTGGATTTATATAGGTTTGAATGAGAAATCATCACTGATTGTATAGGAAATTTTATTGATTACTTAGCAAAAAATGGTCAACGTTGCTGGAATACATACTAGAGAACCAAACCCCTTAGCCACTAGGTCCAAGTAGATCGGCTAGTCATCGTTGGCGGGCATATTCGAGAACCATAATTGTTTACAGATGCTCGACCAAGCTTTCAAACTATTGCAGGTGCCTTATCCTAGCGCATCTACCCATCACAAATCACACAACAAGATAACTTAAATTGGTTGTAGAGGTTCAATATAATACAAGATTAGAATTGAGAGAGATTCCCCGTAAACAAATTAAGAGAGATTAATAAATGATGTGATTTTTTTAACCTCGGCTAGTTCGTTGGCCTTAGCATGAAGAATTGGTGGGTGAAGCGACCTGGGTCGCTCTATGAATCAGATCTTTAGATGGAAGACCAGAAGCAGGCTGCAAAGGAATAGGACGGTAAGGCTGCAGCGCTAATGCACGCACACGCTAATCACAGAGATAATGCCCACCGCCAGGAGATTTAGCAGAGGCCCATGAGAATAGACTATGCCAGCGTCTGAAATGCCTTTTGGAGGCCGAGTTACACGGAGCTCGTTTTTTTTCTTTTTTTTTTGGAAAAAATCAGATTTTTTGAAATTTGATTTTTGAATGTTTCAAAAAAGTCTCCACATAAAGTCAGAGCACCAAAACGCTACGCTCATGCTAGCCCAGCTTTTTATTAAAACATCATATAATTACCGGGAACACATGCGTCTCACAGTGCAGTTCAACCGCAACAACAACAATAACAAAAGAAAACCTCCACACTCTAGTGCAACAGACTGTGAATAACACAGAGCACAATATGCGCACATCATGGAAGCACAAGTCTCAGAAACCATTCTTAAGAAAATGCAGGATCAACTCTCTTTATTAGCCGCTGGTTGGCTCCATGATGGCTGGACCGAGCCATCAGGTAGCGAGTGTGGTGGGGAAGCAACTGTCGTGCACGCAGCCGAGCACGTCGCGGTAGTCCCTGTGGATGGTGAAGTTGTCGTAGACCTTGCCGTCGCTGCTCCTCTTGTACTCGAAGAGAAGCGACGAGTGGTTGAAGGCCGTGAGCTTGGTGAAGCCATAGTCCCGGTCCCTGAACACGCTCCACTTGGGGATGGCGCTGGTGTAGCCGTTGAGGTGGCTGCCGCCGCCGCCCGCCACCACGAAGATGGTCCCGTTCATGGTGCCCGAGTAGCGGCTCCGCTCGTTGCTCACGCACTGGTTCTGGTAGAGCGGGCAGGTGCGCTCGTAGTTGTGGACGTGGCCGAAGAAGGCCAGGTCGACGCGGTACCGCTGCCACAACTTCTGCAGGCTCTCCCGCCCCTCGGGCTCCTCGAAGGAGCCCTGCTCGGCGTACCACTTGTTGGAGGAGTATCCCAGCACCCGGTGCGCTGCGAAGATGAGCCACGGCTGGTGCTTCCGGTCCACCGTGGAGAGGCACTCCTTGATGAACTTGTACTGCGGCGTCCCCTCCCGCCAGTCGTGCTCCGAGTCCGCCACGCAGAACCGGAACATCCCGTAGTCCACCTTGTACCTTGAGATCGTTCACAAGCCATTTCATCATTCAGTTCGTTTGAAACCCGGTAGTTTCCTACTATACGTATGAGCTTTGATACGTATGATTCAATTTTTTGTACGTACCAGAAGTTTGCTCTGTTTTCGGCCGGGTAGTAGTACATGGTCTCGGCCAGCACGCCGCACTCGCCGCCGGAGTCCTCGACGTCGAAGAACCCTCCGGTGTTGGGCCAGTCCCTCTCGTGGTTGCCGCTGGCGATCATGTAGGGCTTCCTGGCGCTGATGGGGGCGACCTGCGCGGTGAACTGGTCCCACTGCGAGATGTAGCCGTTGGCGTAGGGCAGGTCGCCGATGTGGAAGACCATGTCGAAGTTGTCCAGATCTTTAACCAGCGCGTCCGTCGTGTTGAGCGACCCCGGCTGGTAGTTGGCGTACTCGTTCGACCCGTCCCTCTCCGCCTTCCCCATGTCGCCGAAGACGATGACGCGCTGCAGCGAGCTCTGCCCGGGGGTCGGCGGCGCCCGGAAGGTGTAGGGCTTGCCCCACACCACCGTCCCGTCGGGGAGCTCGTGCCCGATCTTGTAGAAGTACTCCTTGTTGGGCCACAGGCCCCTCATGAACGCCGTGTGGATGAACCCGGGGTCCCTCCACCCGATCGTCCGCGCCGGCGCGCCGCACATGCTGCCGCGGTTGAAGGTTAGCGTGCCGGCGGGGGTGCGGGCGGGGTTCCCGCCGCCGGAGCCGGAGGTGACCATGCCCCACTCCACGAACGGGTAGGCCTCGCCGACGTCGTAGCCGCTGGTCCAGGTCACGGCCATCTCGTCGTGGGTCTTGCCCTGCGCCAGCCGCGGGAACACCGGCGCCTTGGGGTTCTTGAACGGCGACAGCTTCGTCAACCCCACAAGCTTTGGCTGCAAAATTGGAAGCACCGCGTTCACGTAGAGCTAGCACTTAGAACTTGAGATCGTGACAGGGACACATGAGACATGCACGGTACAACCATGGAACTAGCTAGCTGTGGTTGCATACGTTTTCCAGGCCGCCGGTGAAGAGAGCGAAGGAGAAGTCGGAGCGCTGGTTGATGAGCTGGAACTGGATGGTGCCCTTGCCCCAGTAGAGGTAGTTCGCCGAGAAGTTGGCGTACTGATACTGCACTCACACCACACACACACACACACAGATCGATTCAGCTCAATCATGGCGACGTGATGAAATCTCAAGAAAATTTCTTGGTTAGCAAATCAACGGACCTTGATAGGCGCTGTGCAGAGCAGCGGCTCGGTGGGGTACCTCCGTGGGTTAGGGCACGAGCCCGAGCTGCATGCGTACACGAGTCAGAGACACACGATAACAAATCCATTATATAATCATATGCATAATTACATGAAATCGGAGGGGGAGAAGACGGCGATCCAGTCGTCGGTGGCGGGGTTTTGCCAGCCGTATTCCACAGTGACCGTTGCAGTGTCTCCTTCCTGTCACACAGACAGCTCAAAATTCTGAGTTGCTTACATTTTATTTAGTTTTTATTATCTATTTATATTGGTTGAGATAGAACATTCCACAGTTTATTCAGATATCCAAGAACCATCACAAAGTATCTGGCTGTGTGCATCCTGAGGCCGGAAGAGATTACATTATTCACAGTGACCATTGTAGTGTCTCCTTCCCGTGAGAGGCAGCTGCTCATACTTTTGAGTTGCTCAGGTATTTTTTAGTTTTTATATCTTTGTTCAGATAGAACATTTGACACTTTATTCATACCCAAGCGCCATCACAAAGTATCTATCCAGGTTGACTCTGTATATATAACATGTCGTTGATTTGTATCTCAAATATTTTGCTTGCCTTGCCCTCCTGGATGTAAGATCCAACCGGCAAACGAGCTAAACAGTTAGCTTTATATAGTACAAAATTACAAACCTGCTGGTCGCCGTCGCCGAGCAGCAGCGCACTCGCGCGCACGTACGCGGAGCCGTGCAGCTCGACGGTGGCCTTGTGGATGGCGATCTTAGACAGTGGCTGGACCCCCGCCTCCGGCGAGGCGCTCACCGTCGTCGCCATGGCCAGCACCGCCGCCAGGACGACGACGTGCGCCATCCCCATGCTTCTGCTTCAGCTGTCACTCCTACAGCTAGGCTGCCACTGCGCGTGCTCCAGGGGTGGTGACCGTGAGATCTAGTCCAGCGTACGCCATGCATGGCTGGCCGGCAGGCCTATATATACACGTAGCCAAGCGGCAGGACAGGGGGCGGGAGTCTTTTTTTTTTTTACAGCAACATCATTATATGTTGGAAATTGGTCTACTCGTGGAGCACGCGTTATTATGGTGGCCTCGTGGAGCACGCGCACGTACAGCGCTCGTGCCTCTCCTGCCACGCAAGTTAATTATTTGATTGACATCGAGATGCAGACGCTGTCGATTCTTGGCCAACTGGGGTGGGAGCGAGATAGTATTGGTGTGGGTTTGTGTCGTCCGATGAACGCCCATGCAACACAACAAACCCTGCTGAGTGCCGAATGTTCTCTCGTAGAGAGAAACTGATTTCTACCAAACTCAGTTCAGCGTACTTCTGCTGGAACTAGTGACCGCTCACGCACAAATCATGTACGGTTGACTGAGTTTTTTTTTTGAAAAGGAGGTTAAGACCCCCGGCCTATGCATCAATCGATGCATACAACCATCTTTATTTATTATTGAACAAAGGTGTAATAAAAACATACATCAAGCCACCCGAAGCCACCACTCACACGTACAAAACTCGATAACGTGGATGTATGGTTAACTGAGTATGAGTGAAATATAGAATATTGGGTTGCCTTTCTCTAAGGCAAAAATATCAAGGGCACCCTTAAAGCATGGAATAACAGTAGCTAACATGCATGTCAACTAGCTCTCATGCCATCAAAGAAATGTTGATGAGAACCGTCTCCCACAGTTCTGAAAGATCTGAGCGAGGTCGAGGCAAGCTGAAGAGACTGCTAGTTTGTAGGACGCCTAGCTGGCTCTGGAAGAGAAAAAGATGCAATAATTGGAGGTGAAGAAAAGAAGTTTGGAGCTGGAAGTGAAAAGACAGCATGAGTTGCTGCAGCAAGCAATCAAAAACAATATTGAGGTGCCGGGATCTCAAACTGATGTTGTTGATGAGCGAAATATATATCAATGTTAACAATAGAGCAGATGGTTTAGATGACGAGGAACAAGCGAACTATGATCTTTTTCGACAAAGGGTGAATTTTATTAGCTTAAAATGAAGCATCAAGGGGATACAAACACAACGAGCAACACATCCGTTCTCTGCCTAGCTAGGATGCACACATCCAACTCCAACGCACACACATAAAAAACACCGGCAACTAGCAAAGTCAAACAAGACCGAGGCTATGCCTTGATGAAAAAAAAAACTCCGAAGCAATCAAAAGTTCAAAACAATGATCAACAATCTACAACAACAACCATATCCGCACCAACAATCACTTGACATCACCGGAGTACCTCGAGAAGGATTCTCCAACAACAATGCCTTCAGGAGGGAACGACGCTCAAGTTCATACCTCGGGTTTTACTGGAAAGGCTTTCGCCGCGCTTTATATATAAAGCAACCACAAAGCAAACATCCAACATACAACCGAAATAACAAAAACAAAGAACAAAACGTCAAAGATACAAGACACTACCGAACAACTAACAAGATTTGAATGCAGGAAGCAAGCTTGAGCATCGAAGCCTTCAACGAGCTCCAGCTCCTTCCATAGATGAGATGAGGCCGAGGAAGCAACCCAACGCTGGAAGAAGAACACGCTCCATCAACTCCGATGAGGTCAAAGCTGCTGATCCGCCCTTCACCGCCAAAGAAGGCCCCTTGTCTTCTCGTCCCGGATCGGAGGGCGCTACACCATCGGCTGGCAGAGCTGCTCACCCCTGAGCACTCATGAGCAGGTCAAGCCGGTTGCCAAGGAGAAGACGACAAGCATGGCGGCCACACCTCGCAGAGCCGCAACCCAAACCACACCACCATCGATGGAAGGAAGCATGACAGCCACTGCAAGCCGCCGAGCGGGAACATCACTGAACGACAAGCATGGCGACCACACCTCGCAGAGCCGCATCCCGAACCACACCACCATTGATGGAAGGAAACATGACAGCCACTGCAAACCACCGAGCGGGAACATCACTAAAGAACACTGACGACCCATCACCTACGTCGCAGCCCCGGCTATCACCTTCACCATCGCAAGGCGACGCCTTCAAGAAGAACAACGATGTCGGAGCGCCGTCACCGCCCAATCCAAAGATTTGGGGCTTTCACCTGGAGTATGTTGGTGGAGTGCAGGAGCAGGATCTCGATGCCGCCTACAAGAGAGGGGATGATACGTCTCCAATGTCTCTATAATTTTTTATTGTTCCATGCTATTATATTATCTGTTTAGGATGTTCAATGGGCTTTAATATTCTCTTTTATATTATTTTTGGGACTAACCTATTAACCAGAGGCCCAATGCCAATTTCTGTTTTCTTTCTTTTTTGCCTATTTTAGAGTTTTGCAGAAAAGGAATACCAAACGGAGTCCAAAAGGAAAGAAACCTTCGCGATGATCTTTCTTGGACCGAAAGCAAACTAGAAGACTTGGAGTTGAAATCAGAGATGCAACGAGGCATCCACGAGGCAGGAGGGCGCGCCCAGGGGGGTAGGCGCGCCCCCACCCTCATGGGCCCCTCATAGCTCCACCGACCTAGCTCTTTCGCCTATATATACTCTTATACCCTAAAACATCAGGGGGAGCCACGAAACCACTTTTCCACCGTCGCAACCTTCTGTACCCGTGAGATCCTATCCTGGGGCCTTTTCCAGTGATTTGCCGGAGGGGGAATCGATCACAGAGGGCTTCTACATCAGCACCATTGCCTCTCCGATGCAGCGTGAGTAGACATTCGGGTCCATAGTTATTAGCTAGATGGCTTCTTCTCTCTCTTTGATTCTCAATACAAAGTTCTCTTCGATGTTCTTGGAGATCTATCTGATGTAATACTCTTTTGTGGTGTGTTTGCCGAGATCCGATGAATTGTGGATTTATGATTAAGATTATCTATGAATATTATTTGGTTCTTATCTGAATTCTCATATGCATGATTTGATATCTTTGCAAGTCTCTTCGAATTATCGGTTTAGTTTGGCCTACTAGATTGATCTTTCTTGCCATGGCAGAAGTGCTTAGCTTTGGGTTCAATCTTGCGGTGTCCTTTCCTAGTGACAATAGGGGCAGCAAGGCACGTATTGTTGCCATCGAGGATAAAAAGATGGGGTTTATATCATATTGCTTGAGTTTATCCCTCTACATCATGTCATCTTGCTTAATGCGTTACTCCGTTCTTATGAACTTAATACTCTAGATGCATGCTGGATAGCGGTCGATGTGTGGAATAATAGTAGTAGATGCAAAATCATTTCGGTCTACTTGACACAGACGTGATGCCTATGTTCATGATCCTTGCCTTAGATGTCTTCATAATTATGCATTTTTCATTCAATTGCTCGGTAGTAATTTGTTCACCCATCGTAATACATGCTATCTCGAGAGAAGCCACTAGTGAAACCTATGCCCCCGGGTCTCTTTTCCATTATATTGCATCTCTATTCCATATTATTGAATCCCGTTTACTATTTTGCAATCTTTACTTTTCAATCTATACAACAAAAATACCAAAAATATTTACTTTATTATCTATATCAGATCTCACTTTCGTGAGTGACCGTGAAGGGATTGACAACCCCTTTATCGCATTGGTTGCATGTTCTTGATTGTTTGTGCAGGTATTTGGTGACTTGTGCATCGTCTCCTACTGAATTGATACCTTGGTTCTCAAAACTGAGGGAATACTTACGCTACTTTGCTGCATCACCCTTTCCTCTTCAAGGAAAACCAATGCAAGCTCAAGAGGTAGCAAGAAGGATTTCTGGCACCGTTGCCAGGGAGATCTATGCCAAGTCAAGCCATACCAAGTACCCATCATAAACTCTTCTCCCTTGCATTACATTATTTGCCATTCGCCTCTCGTTTTCCTCTCCCCCACTTCTAAAACAATTTTCGAAAACCTTTGTCTTTTCTTAGCCCCTCTTCCGTTCGCCTATTTTCGCTTGCTTCTTGTGTGCTTGTGTGTTGGATTGATTGCTTGTCACGATGGCTCAAGACAATACTAAATTGTGTGACTTTTCCAATAACAACAACAATGATTTTATTAGCACTCCAATTGCTCCTACTACCGATGCCGAGTCTTGTCAAATTAATACTACTTTGTTGAATCTTATTATGAAAGATCAATTTTCTAGCCTTCCTAGTGAAGATGCCGCTACCCATCTAAACAACTTCGTTGATTTGTGCGATATGCAAAAGAAGAAAGATGTGGATAATGATATTGTTAAATTGAAGCTATTTCCGTTTTCGCTTAGAGATCGTGCTAAAACTTGGTTCTCTTCTTTTCCTAAATATAGTGAACAAATAACCCGGATTTGCTCCTTGGCGTGGGTTCAACTCGCGAGACAAATAACCCGGCAAGCATCCCCTTTTCATTAAAAAACATCCCACTCAGGTACAGTCCATAGAGGATGAAAAACATGAAAGAGAGGATTACAAGTTTTAGATACAGCTAAGGCCCGAAGGCTTACAAATTAAAAAGATAAGATGCCCGTAATCCCTTTCCCGTCCCTCTCTTCAGGAGGCAGGTCAAGGAGGCGAAAAGGGCAAAAGGAGCGCTGCCCTCTTTCAACTCTGCAAGCGGAGGAGGGCGGCGGAGATTTCTGAGATTGCAGCAGCGAAGGGAGAAGGTGGGGGAAATGCCCCTATTTCCCCTGCTTATAAAGAGGGACGGGGCGGACATTTCGGCCTTCCAAATAAACAACCACCCACAATCTCTCCCACGACCCCGCGATTGACGCGTGCCGTTACGGGGGGCGCGGTGGATACGGAGTTAGATTCCGCATAACCTAGGCCGCGCGTGCCCGTGCACTGTTTTGGGCCTGGCCCAACAGCGGTCGGCACCGTGTCTGGCCCAGGCCCGGGGGCTCCTGTCGGTGTACTAGAGTAGGGGTACCCTAGTACCCCGAA